AAGGATGTTTTAAATCCTCTGCTGTGATCAGGTTTCTCTCTCAGCTTGAGACCCTTATTCTCTTGTCCATCTTTCCTCCCAGATCATGTAAGAGATGCCTTAAATCTGTAGGATATTTCTAAAGGAAGAGTTGTAACAATGTATTCAACTTTAAATTGATGGACATTGGTTCCTTGTGTGATGTGAATATTTATTAGAGCATAGGACAATTTGCCTCTGATTTGAGAAGCTTCAGGATTGACAGAGCTAAAATAATTTGTTGCGTCATAGAATAAGGAAGTCTGATGCAAAGGGCTGTGCCCCGGGGTGACTGCCTCGCTGTCACTCACTCATTCCTGTCTGTGTCCCCCAGAGCCCGGCTGACACACAACCTCGTTCTGAGGGTGTGTCTGAGCTGGGGACACCTGAGCAGGGGAGAGCAGTCAACAAGGATATTTAAATTCACAGCAGATAAGAGGGACTTGATTCAGACTGGGATATTTAGGGCTTTCCTGGGACAGACTAAACTTGCTAGGTTCCAGGACCATTCAGGCCCCTGGGGGGTTTTTCTAATGGGGAATAAAAAGCCAGTCTCTGTTGATACCCCATGCTTTTCTCCTCTGTGCCGCTTCCAGCCTTCGTCCTTTCTCTCGGGGACTTTCTAGTCCTCTCTGTTTGCCCTGGGGCTTTTCTTAGGACTTTTGTGGAGTTGGAGAGTTGAAGGACTGCTCCTTGTGTACCGCTGTCGTCTTTTTCTTCAGTGTGATTACTCACAGGTCTATATACATGTGACAGGTTAAGAAATGTCCTTGAATCCACACTCAGATGTGGCTCAGCAAAATGCCTGCTTTGTATTCGTGTGTGTGTGTAAGTATTTAGATCAGATCCCTTGTTAGAGAATGTTAGTGTATTACAGTCATGGAAATCGGATTTGGGAAATCCAGTTGCCTGTTGTCTATTATTTTTAGCCTTGCACATACCTTTCCATTTCTGCTGAATCTCTTCTTCTGTCCCCCTTCTCTTGTGAGGAGACTGCAATGTAAAGGCGCACTGAGACTGGGAACCTGGGCGTCTTTCTGTCTGAGGGTCAGTGGACTCAGCAGATTGGGGCAAGTAGGTGGCTGTGGTCAGATCCACCACAGGCAGGTTCTGTCAAGTCACATCTAGTTTGAAGTCTCCTTGGCTTCCCATCCCATTGTGGGAATGTTAGCCTTGGGTAGACTGGCAACTCCGTGGAGCACTCCGTGGGGCCCTCCGTGGGGCGCTCCGTGGGGCCCTCCGTGGGGCCCCCCGTGGAGCGCCCCGTGGAGCCCCCTGTGGAGCCCCCCGTGGAGGGCGCTGGCTGTGTAGTTGTTTACTAGGCCAGAATTCCAACAGCTGAGCCCTTTAGACTTCGTTCTCTCTCATTGCCAGCAAATTCATGTAGTGTACAGTATGTTTTTTATAAAGCACTCTGATATACTGGGAGAAAGAGGAAGTGAAATTCAAACCTTCTGGTTTTGTTATTTGCAAGCATTTCTGCCAAAAGGTATGTATTCAGTTCAGTCGCTCAGTTGTGTCTGACTCTTTGAAACCCCATGGACTGCAGGACACCAGGCCTCCCTGTCCATCACCAACTCCCAGAGTTTACTCAAACTCATGTCCATCCAGTCGGTGATGCCATCCAACCATCTCATCCTCTGTTGTCCCCTTCTCCTCCTGCCTTCAGTCTTTCCCAGCATCAGGGTCTTTTCCAGTGACTCAGTTCTTCGCATCAGGTGGCCAAAGTATTGGTGCTTCAGCATCAGTCCTTCCAATGAACACTCAGGACTGATTTCCTTTAGGATGGACTGGTTGGATCTCCTTGCAGTCCAAGGGACTTGCAAGAGAATTCTCCAACACCAGAGTTCAAAAACATCAATTCTTTGTTGCTCTGCTTTCTTTATAGTCCAAATCTCACATCCATACATGACTACTGGAAAAACCATAGCTTTGACTAGACGGACCTTTGTTGACAAAGTAATGTCTCTGCTTTTTAATATGCTATCTAGGTTGGTCATAACTTTTCTTCCAAGGAGCAAGCATCTTTTAATTTCATGGCTGCAGTCACTATCTGCAGTGATTTTGGAGCCCAAGAAAATAAAATCTGTCACTGTTTCCATTGTTTCTCCATCTATTTGCCATGAAGTGATGGGACCAGATGCCATGATCTTAGTTTTCTGAACGTTGAGTTTTAAGCCAAGTTTTTCACTTTCCTCTTTCACTTTCATCAAGAGGCTCTTTAGTAGTTCTTTGCTTTCTGCCATAAGGGTAGTGTCATCTGCATATCTGAGGTTATTGATATTTCTCCTAGCAGTATTGATTCCAGCTTGTGCTTCATCCAGCCCAGCATTTCTCATGATGTATTCTGCATATAAGTTAAATAAGCAGGGTGACAATATACAGCCTTGATGTACTCCTTTCCCAATTTGGAACCAGTCTGTTGTTCCATGTCCAGTTCTAACTGTTGCTTCTTGACCTCCATACAGATTTCTCAGGAGGCAGGTCAGGTGGTCTGGTATTCCCATCTCTTGAAGAATTTTCCAGTTTGTTGTGATCTACACAGTCAAAGGCTTTGGTGTAGTCAGTAAAGCAGAAGTAGATGTTTTTCTGGAAGTCTCTCGCTTTTTCGATGATCCAACAGATGTTGGCAGATTATCTCTGGTTCCTCTGCCTTTGCTAAAACCAGCTTGAACATCTGGAAGTGCATGGTTCACATAGTGTTGAAGCCTGGCTTGGAGAATTTTGAACATTACTTTGCTAGCGTGTGAGATGAGTGCAATTGTGCGGTAGTTTGAACATTCTTTGGCATTGCCTTTCTTTGGGTTTGGAATGAAAATTGACCTTTTCCAGTCCTGTGGCTACTGCGGAGTTTTCCAAATTTGCTGACATATTGAGTGTATCACTTTCACAGCATCGTCTTTTAGGATTTGAAATAGCTCAACTGGAATTCCATCACATCCACTAGCTTTGTTCTTAGTGATGCCTCCTAAGGCCCTCTTGACTTCACATTCCAGGATGTCTGGCTCTAGGTGAGTGATCACACCATCCTGGTTATCTGGGTCGTGAAGATCTTTTTTGTACAGTTCTTCTGTGTACTCTTGCCACCTCTTCTTAATATCTTATGGTTCTGTTAGGTCCCTACCATTTCTGTTCTTTATTGTGCCCATCTTTGTGTGAAATGTTCCCTTGGTATCTCTAATTTTCTTGAAGAGATCTCTAGTCTTTCCCATTCTATTGTTTTCCTCTATTTCTTTGCATTGATCGCTGAGGAAGGCTTTCTTATCTCTCCTGGCTATACTTTGGAACTCTGCATTCAAATGGGTATATCTTTCCTTTTCTCCTTTGCTTCTTTTCACAGCTATTTGTAAGGCCTCTTCAGACAACCATTTTGCCTTTTTTGCATTTCTTTTTCTTGGGGATGGTCTTGATCCCCTCTAACCCTAACCCTGTACAATGTCAGGAACCTCCGCCCATAGTTCATCAGGCACTCTGTCGATCTGATCTAATCCCTTGAATCTATTTCTCACTTCCACTGTGGAATCATAAGGGATTTGATTTAGGTCATACCTGAATGGTCTAGTGGTTTTCCCTACTTTCTTCAATTTAAGTCTGAATTTGGCAATAAGGAGTTCATGATCTGAGCCCAGTCTTGTTTTTGCTGACTGTATAGAGCTTTTCCATCTTTGGCTGCAAAGAATATCATCAATCTGATTTTGGTATTGACCATTTGGTGATCTCCATGTGTAGAGTCTTCTGTGTTATTGGAAGAGGGTGTTTGCTATGACCAGTGCTTTCTCTTGGCAAAATTCTTACTAGCCTTTGCCCTGGTCATTCTATACTCCAAGGCAAAGTTGCCTGTTACTCCAGGTATGTATTGGGAGGAGCTCAGACAGTTGGTGGATTTTTCTTGAGACCTATATTTGGTATTGCTGCTCTTCCTTTTTTCTTCTCCAGTAGATATTTGACATCTACCAAAACACTTGGCATTTACTTTAGTTTTTAATATTGATAAGAATACAGTTTCTCTTGAATTTGTTTCTTCTGCTAGCCCTTGGCAACTACAGCAAACCTCCAAATAAATAAGACACTTCTGGCTCGGGACCTGCTCAGGGATGCATGCACCTCATCAGTTTGTGGGCGTGGTCTTCCGCTCTCTGTGATAAATTGTCGGTGTCTAGTACTGGGAAATATTTTCGTTCTCGTTTATACACCTCCGTCACTTAGTTGTCCAGTAATTCTCCCATTCAGTTGATGGGACTTGTCTGAAGGTCATTCTTCCAAGTTTATTCCATCTGGGAAATGAGATTCCTCAGGTCTGTCTCAGTTCTGTCTGCCTCTCAGTGCTGCTCTGTCCGCCTCCCTCCCTGATTTACAGGCACTGCAGCACACCATCTTTCTTAGACTGCCATTAATTATCTGTGAGGACTTAGCTATGTTTATAGAGTAGTATTTTCTTACTAGAAAAGTCATTCATTTTTAATCTCCTTGATAATCAATGTACACTGAATATCTGTGGGAGAAAGAATATCTGGGTAATCGCATAAAACTGATTAGTTTCATTAAATGCCAGCTCTTTAATGTTATCTTTCTATATCAGTCTATATAATATTTTCTTCTTAGTGTACTTAAATTAACTCTCTCATTCATGAAAATCTTGAAGTCATTTCTTTTTTAAATGTAAAGTGAAATTGTGAAGGAAAGAGCAGAAACTAAAACTTGGATTTACAGCAGACGAGTTAAAATGACTTTTTCCCTGGGGTTTTAAGGAAAAAGTTCTTCACTTATAGTAAAAAGCCTACATGGAGGTAGATACAGTAGTTATTATCATGGTTGTATTACTGCTGGTTTCAGATTCTCTTAATTGTAAATTAGATCCTCAGTTATCATTTAGATGGTTTTAGTATAATTCTTTTCTGTTGTTCACGTAATTTATGCTGATATGTTGATGAGGAGCAAAACAGCCATTTCTTTAAGACTAAACAGTTTGCTTGTGCTTGTAGGCAAACCTCACAGTACCGGAAGCTCTGAGCGGATTCAGCTCTCAGGAATGTACAATGTCCGGAAAGGCAAAATGCACTTGCCAGTGAACCGATGGACCAGACGCCAAGTCATCCTGTGCGGGACCTGCCTCATCGTGTCATCTGTGAAAGACAGCGTGGCCGGAAAGATGCACGTGCTGCCGCTCATCGGTGGTAAAGTAAGTGGAAAACAAACCAGATACTGACAGATTTTCCAGCCTCCTAAGGAGCTTTGCTCTGAACCATTGCTGTAGTAAGGGGCAGGTGGTTTTTGACTTATCATTCCTGTCGTGCCTCTGCCAGTGGGCATGTTGGGTTGGTGGAGTTTTGGAATGTATCATTGCCGTTGGCTCACATGAGGCCTTGGTGATGTTTGCTTCATTAGTATATGTATCTTGGGGTTTCCCTGGTGGCTCAGACCGTAAAGGATCTGCCGGCATTGTGGGAGACCCAGGTTTAATCCCTGGGGCAGGAAGATCCCCTGGAGAAGGGAATGACTACCCACTCCAGTATTCTTGCCTGGAGAATTCCGTGGACAGAGGAGCCTGGCGGGCTACAGTTCATGGGGTCACAGAGTTGGACATGCTGGGTGACTAACACTTTTTCACTTACTTTCACATGCATCATAGTTATGAGACTGAAAATAGAGCAACTGGAATTTCACTGTTCTATTTCAGACTATCGGTGATCAATTATTTATGAGAAGATATCTTTTGATATTGTGGTAACATATTTTGTAGTGTAGTATAGTGATCCCCAGGTCCCTTGACTTTAGGATCATTCAGGCGTGCTTATCGAAGGTTAGACTTTTCAGCAGGAATCTTTGATTCTGCTTTGCCTTACCTCTGTGCTTGTGTTTTGTGACCTGTTGGATTAGCATGTTTAGTTTTATCAGTTTAGCTAGTCATGATTTTTGAACCTGAAATGCGTCTCAGTTCGAGAAAACCCATGATGCAGCTGATAGATACTTCCAATATACTGACTGCTTTCCTTTGGACATGTTAGCTATTTTATTTCTATCATTTATAAAATAGAAAGAAAGAGGTTGCGTCAGAAGATGTTCTGTTCTTGTCTTTGCCAGATTTATTTGTAAACCCAAGCATTGTTAAGGGGTATCATTACCATAATTATATGTCAGTATTTCCTGATTTTTAAATGATATGACAACCTGTTAATAAAGGGAAAGGCAAATTTGGATGAAAGAACAGGTTTTTGGAAATCAGGACCATATTAAGAATTGTTTTCTTGGGCTCCTGTGGTGACTGACTGGTGAGGAATCTGGCTGCCAATGCAAGAGACACGGGTTCAATCCCTGGTCCTGGACGATCCTTCGTGCCACAGAGCAGCTAGGCCCATGTGAGCCTGTGCTCTAGAGTCACAGCTGCTGAAGCCTGCAAGCTCAGAGCCTGTTCCCCACGAGAGGCACCAGGTGAGAGGAAGCCTGGACACTGCAGTGAGGAGTGGCCCCCACGCTCCACACGCAGCAGTGAAGACCTGGCACAGCCGGGAAAAAAAAAAAAGTAAATAATTCTTTAAAAAGCATTAAATTTTTTTTTTCATTACCATTTTCCCCCTGAACAGGCAATGGGAAGGGAGGCAGGGCATGGCATGGAAATTAAAAAGAGAGGACTATAAACTAAATATAAAGTAGTTTACTTTGTTAAAGTGATTTTTTTTAAATTGGCAAATGTTTGATTTATTGATTCCAGGGATTAGAAATCAAGAAGGAAAGAAAAGACCAGATGTGTACAGTAGTAAATGGTTTTTTTGTTCAGCTGTTAGGTAACAAGTTCATGCATAATTTTAAGTTGCTCTTTCTTTATGCATCAACAGCCCATGTAAGTTTTCCCCCCTCTACTATTATCTCTTCAAGTCTTAATTCTAATACTTAATTGTTAAAAAAATAGATTTGGCTAGTCTGTGAGGTATGTTTAGGTCTGTTTCATTTGTCCATCTTGAAACCTTGGCTTAACTTCTGTCTGAGCATTGAATTAGTGGCAGTTTACTACTGAAGATCTTGTTCTTTGGATGGGTGAGTTACTGAAAACTTAATCATCATTATTTCCATAACTCATCATTTAAAATGCATGTTTAACGTTTGATGCCCTGATAGGTCAACAGTGTGTTTCTTACTTCTCTATGATGTTGGGCATTTGCAGAGGCAAATTTAATATAACTATTTATTAAATACCCTCTATAGGGAAGCTTGGTGTCCCAGAAATACCAAGATGGGTAATTCACCATCTCTGCCTTTGAATAGCTTATAGTTACTATCTGGAAGTGAAGGATGACCACAATATGTGCTCCGCAGAGGTGCAAGAACGTAGTGTGGGAGATAATGGAAGGGGAGATTCCGTTCTGTGGGGCGAATCGGGGCTTGTGACGAAGGAGGTAGCAGTTATGGTAGAACTTGAAGAGCGAAAGATCTCTTGACGTCTGAAGAAGATGGTTGGAAAGATGACTGTGCTCTGAGAAGCAGCCGCAGCAAAGCCGTGGCATTCAGGTACGGTCAGAGGATCCAGTTGTAATTAGCGTTTTCATTCAGAGCTAGAGACTTGTTCTGTTTCCCAGGCCTGTTATTGGACGCACTTCTACCATTGAGTGAATTGAAAGTTAATAGCTTCTTTTTCTCACAGACAAACCTTGTAAAACCTGTTTTGTGCTATGCCTTTAAAAATAAGGGGAGTATGTTGAAAAATTGAGCCTTTAAAACCTGTTAACCAAGTTAGGAAAAAATAATTCACTCTCTGCAGTCTGAGTTTTCTTTAATCTGTGTTCCTTTTCTCATTCTGTTCTGTTGTTAAAAAACTGAGAGAGAATGGAAGGAATTTTTGTTTTGTTTTGTTTTAATTTATATAAGAGCTAGAAATGGGGTGTGAGATAGATGGGTCATAATCCAGCTGTAATTGCTGTAATAGTGAAACTTGACACAATACTTGAGCATGATCATTAGTTTACATTTTCAAATATAGAATTCAAATATGAAGTTAAATAAAGTTTTATTAAAGCTTCATTGTTGAAAAACATTTAATAAATAAGTTTTTGTTCATTGTGCAGTTATTGTATTTAATTTCTCCTTTAAAATTTAACATAAAATTTAGATAACTTATTTAAACTAATCCTTGAGGTAGTATTTGTCAAGCCATGAAGCATAATAAGTTGAGTAACTGTAACTTATTACTCAGTTTAGAAATCACAGCAGTATCAAGACTAGTGTTTCTGCTGGAGTTCTCTTTTTACCTGTCACATTACCTCCTCCTAACCTAGAGAAATCCACTGTCCTAGGATAGGTATTCATTATTTTCTTACTTTTTTGAAATAAATTTTATCATATGACTTTATTTTGACCTTTAAAACTGCGATCATCCTGTTTGTAGTTTCCTGTGATTGAATTTTTCACTAAATATTATGCCTCATAGTAAAAGTCCATGTTGCTTGCTGTATATCGTTTTTATTTCTCTATAATGTTACACTCTGTAAGTGTTCCAGGTTTCCAGAATTTCTCAAGTTATTTTCTTGTTGATGGACATTTGGGTTGCTTCTAGTTTGTTATGAAAAATTCTCCTGGGATAGTCGTATTTTGATAGGCCTCCTGGTATACCAGTAGTTTTTCTAGAGCAGCAGTTCTTAACTCTTGTTGCTGTGCCTGAAGGGACATTTGATAATATATCCAAGTGTTTTGATTGTCAAATGAATGGATAGTCAGTTGACATAAGCTTAGTTATGCTGTGGTAACAAAACGCCCAGATCTCAATGCCTAACAGTTATTTATCACTCACACTATTTGTCCAGTGTGGGTTGGTGGAGATTTCTTTTTTCAAATAATTATGTGGGGACTCAGCCTGATGGAGGCCCTGTCTCTTACAATATTGTAACATGTGGCTTCCTTTGCTGCTTAGGCAGGGGAAGAGGTAACTGTAAAGTCATTCACTGGCTCTTGTTGTAGAAGTGACATGTGGAGCTTCTGCCCCTGGCTCATTGACCAGAACTAGTTGCATGAGTCCACCTGAATTGCCAACATTCTGGGAAAAGTAGATGGTGTGCTTGGTTAATACTAGTATCTTTTGCTGCAAGGGGACACTATTGGCATTTAAAGTGCAGGGACTCAAAGTGAAATGTCATGCATAAGTATTAGACAGTCCTGCACAATGTACACAAAAAACTATTCAACCCAAAATTTCTGTGATGTCTACCTTGAGAAATAGTGCTCTTCAGAATGCAGTCGCTGGGCTATAGGGCATATATGCGCGTTTACTCTTACAAGATGATCTCCAGTTGTTTACAAGGTTGTTGCACCATTTCATACTCACATTGGTATACAAGTGTTCCTCTTTCTCTTCATCTTCACCACACTTTATTAAGGGGTAACTGATATACAACATACTGTACATTTTGATAACAAAAACATGCTCCATTGTACCCTTCTGCCCTGCTTTTCTGCTCATTCCTCAGTTCAGTTCAGTTGCTCAGTCATGTCTGACTCTTTGCGACCCCATGAATTGCAGCACACCAGGCTTCCCTGTCCATCACCAACTCCCGGAGTCTAATCAAACTCATGCCCATCGAGTCAGTGATGCCATGTAGCCATGTCATCCTCTGTCGCCCCCTTCTTCTCCTGCCCCCAATCCCTCCCAGCATCAGGGTCTTTTCCAATGAGTTGCATGAGGTGGCCGAAGTACTGGAGTTTCAGCTTCAGCATCAGTCCTTCCAATGAACACAAAGGACTGATCTCCTTTAGGATGGACTGGTTGGATCTCCTTGCAGTCCAAGGGACTCTCAATAGTCTTCTCCAACACCATAGTTCAGAAGCATCAATTTTTCAGTGCTCAGCTTTCTTCACAGTCCAACTCTCACATCCATACATGACCACTGGAGAAACCATAGCCTTGACCAGACGGACCTTTGTTGGCAAAGTAATGTCTCTGCTTTTTAATACGCTATCTAGGTTGGTCATAACTTTCCTTCCAAGGAGTGTCTTTTAATTTCATGGCTGCAGTCACCATCTGCAATGATTTTGGAGCCCCCCAAAATAAAGTCTGACACTGTTTCCACTGTTTCCCCATCTATTACCCATGAGGTGATGGGACCAGGTGCCATGATCTTAGTTTTCTGAACGTTAAGCTTTAAGCCAAGTTTTTCACTCCCCTCTTTCACTTTCATCAAGAGGCTTTTTAGTTCCTCTTCATTCTCTGCCATAAGGGTGGTGTCATCTGCATATCTGAAGTTATTGATATTTCTCCCAGCAATCTTGATTCCAGCTTGTGCTTCTTCCAGCCCAGAGTTTCTCATGATGTACTCTGCATAGAAGTTAAATAAGCAGGGTGACAATATATAGCCTTGACGTACTCCTTTTCCTATTTGGAACCAGTCTGTTCCATGTCCAGTTCTAACTGTTGCTTCCTGACCTGCATACAGGTTTCTCAAGAGGCAGGTCACGTGGTCTGGTATTCCCATCCCTTCCAGAATTTTCCACAGTTTATTATGATCCACACAGTCAAAGGCTCTGGCATAGTCAATAAAGCAGAAATAGATATTTTTCTGAAACTCTCTTGCTTTTTCAATGATCCAGCAGATATTGGCAGTTTGAGCTCTGGTTCCTCTCCCTTTTCTAAAACCAGCTTGAACATCTGGAAGTTCTTGGTTCACGTATTGCTGAAGCCTGGCTTGGAGAATTTTGAGCTTTACTTTGCTAACCTGTGAGATGAGTGCAATTGTGCAGTAGTTTGAGCTTCTTTGGCACTGCCTTTCTTAGGGATTGGAATGAAAACGGACCTTTTCCAGTCCTGTGGCCACTGCTGAGTTTTCCAAATTTGCTGGCATATTGAGTGCAGCACTTTCACAGCATCATCTTTCAGGATTTGAAATAGCTCAACTGGAATTCTATCACATCCACTAGCTTTGTTCATAGTGATACTTCCTAAGGCCCACTTGACTTCACATTCCAGGATGTCTGGCTCTAGGTGAGCGATCACACCATCCTGGTTATCTGGGTCGTGAATATCTCTTGTACAGTTCTGTGTATTCTTGCCACCTCTTCTTAATATTTTCTGCTTCTGTTAGGTCCATGTCATTTCTGTCCTTTGTCGAGCCCATCTTTGCACGAAATGTTCCCTTGGTATCTGATTTTCTTGAAGAAAAAATTTTCTTGCCACCTCTTCTTAATATCTTATGGTTCTGTTAGGTCCCTACCATTTCTGTTCTTTATTGTGCCCATCTTTGTGTGAAATGTTCCCTTGGTATCTCTAATTTTCTTGAAGAGATCTCTAGTCTTTCCCATTCTATTGTTTTCCTCTATTTCTTTGCATTGATCGCTGAGGAAGGCTTTCTTATCTGTCCTGGCTATACTTTGGAACTCTGCATTCAAATGGGAATATCTTTCCTCTTCTCCTTTGTTTTTCGCTTCTCTTCTTTTCACAGCTATTTGTAAGGCCTCCTCAGACAACCATTTAGCTTTTTGCATTTCTTTTTCTTGGGGATGGTCTTGATCCCTGTCTCCTGTACAATCACGAACCTCCGTCCATAGTTCATCAGGCACTGTCTTATCAGATCTAGTCCCTTAAATCTATTTCTCACTTCCACTGTATAGTCATAAGGGATTTGATTTAGGTCATCCCTGAATGGTCTAATGGTTTTCCCTACTTTCTTCAATTTAAGTCTGAATTTGGCAATAAGCAGTTCATGGTCTGAGCCACAGTCAACTCCTGGTCTTGTTTTTGCTGACTGTATAGAGCTTCTCAATCTTTGGCTGCAAAGAATATAATCAGTCTGATTTCGGTGTTGACCATCTGGTGATGTCCCTGTGTAGAGTCTTCTCTTGTGTTATTGGAAGAGGGTGTTTGCTATGACCAGTGCATTCTCTTGGCAAAACTCTTATTAGCCTTTGCCCTGCTTCATTCCGTACTCAAGGTCAAATGTGCCTATTTCCTACCCATTCCCTAAAAACACAGATTTCTGACAATACAGATTAGTTTAAATAGCATTTTTTAAAAATTATATTTTCTTTTTGGTGTATAGAAATGTGGTTGATTTTTGAGTATTAATCTTATATCCACTCACCTTACTAAATTTTCTTATTTTTTCTAAAGTCTCTGGATTTTTTCATGTTTGCTATGTAGCTAATCATTTCATATTCATATAATGGCAGTTTTCTTTCTTCCTCAATACATTTCTTTGTCTTATTGTAATGGCCAGCACTCTAGTACAGTATTGAGCGGAAAAAGTAAGAGAATGATGTCACATCATTAACATTGACATTTGCCTTAGATAAATACCCTCTGTTGGCTTAAGTGAGTTACCTGTGTTCTTAGTTTGATAAAAGTTTTTATCATGAATGATGAATGGGTGGAGAATGTTACCAGAAGCTTTTTCTGCAACTGTCAGGGTGACCATATGACTTTTTCAATCTGTTAACATGATTAATGATTTTATAGTTCCAATAACATTAAACCATCTTTCCTGAGGTAAATCCAACGTTTGTTCTTGATATATTTTTTTCTGTATTGCTGAATTCTGCTGCAACATTTTGTTCAAGGTAGCTATTCATAACTAAGGTTGGCCTTTAATTTTCCTTTCTGTTACTGGTCTGATCTGTTTTGGGTTATACCGGCCTCATAGAATAGTTTGGGGTCTATTTCTTTTCTTGCTTGGTGGATTAGTTTGCAATGGTCTATTTCTTGGATTTTTTATAAAACTCACCTACAAAATCATATGGTCCTGATCTTTTCTTGATAATTAAAAAAATACTAATTTTTTTTAATGGTAATAAAACTATCTATGTCTGTTTCTTTTCTTGACTTGGTGTTGGACTTCCCAGGTGGCGCTAGTGGTAAAGAACCTGCCTGTCAGCGCAGGAGACCTCAGAGACAGAGGCTCGAATCCTGGGCGTCCCATGAATGGAGGAGCCTGGCAGGCTGCCACCATGGTGTCACAAGGCAGACAGACTGAAGCGACTTAGCATTAACAAAATATAGTTTTCAAAAAATTTGCCACAAAATTATTTATAATAATCTCTTTAATCCCTGCTTAATATGTTGTCTTCATTATTAATATATATCTCTTCAATTGATATCATTGATCAATATCAATTGATATTGTATTTTGTTAGCCTTTTCAAAGAATTACTATTTTGCTTTGTTAATATTCTCTATTGTGTATTTGATTTTCATTTTAACTTCTGCTTTTTATTATCACCTTCCTTCTGCTTGAGTTCACTTTTTTCCCTAAGTTTTACTAGATGCATGGCCAATTAAATTAATTTTCTGCCTTCTTTTCTAAGTATTTAAAATAAATTTTTCTCTGTGTACCTGCTTTTTATTACAGTCCATAAATTTCAATATGTAATATTTTTAATGGTGTAGTTCTGAGAATTTCTAAATTTTGACTGTGGTTTCTTTTTTTTTAACCTGTGACTTGTTTAGAAGTATATTAATTTTCTAAACATCGATTTTTAATTGATTTATTTATTACTGATTTTTAATTTGACTTTATTTTGGTCCCAGAATACAGTCTGTGGGATATTGATCTTTTTGAATGGTTTTGCATTTTCTTTGTGACTTGATTTGTGGTCATTTTTGTAAATGAGATATAGGAAAACATTCATTCTTTAAGTTAAACATAGGTGTTTGTGTAGTATCATGTTACTTTATTGTTTGGACTTTTTCTCCTTATGAAGAATTTATTGGGAATAGAAATTTGATTCGACTATATCACTGCATTATTGGGACTTGAAATTTCTCACGGTAGGGTTTTACTTCAGGTTAATCTCAATTTCATGATAAACTAAAAGAAAAAAAAAACTTATTTAACATGCTTGAAGACCTCTTTTTAAAAAGGCACGTAATTCAGAGCAATTGCAAAAGTCCCCTAAGTGAAAATCCACCTGCAGTAAAAATTCTTAAGTAAAATCTTAACTGCAGGTCCTGCTAAGAGGAAGTAAGAACCTTGAGAGTATAGGATAAGAAAGGTAGTCTGTTCCAGTCTTAAACAGGAAGATGAGAATTTCAGTATTGAGGGGAAATCTAATGAAGGTAAAAGCCCCTTTTTGGCTTCCTTGTAATTCAAATTGGCTGGTCAGACTTGGGGACGTGCATGCTTGAGGCAGTGAGGGGCACACAGACGGGTGAGTGTAGGCCGTGCTGGCGCAGGGGGGAGGCGGTGAGCTGTGCCCGTGCCCTGCTTTCTGATGTGCTTTTGTCGCTGTTTGTTTCTGCAGGTAGAAGAAGTGAGGAAGCACCAGCACTGTTTGGCGTTGAGCTCTTCGGGGCCTCAGAGCCAGACGTACTGCATATGCTTCGACACCTTCACCGAGTACCTGCGGTGGCTCCGACAGGTCTCCAAGGTGAGCAGGGCTGTGCTCAGCGTCTGGCGGGCTCGAGTTGCTTCCGCTTTACAAAATATGGTTATACACTCTTTTTTCCTTCTTTTTCCTCCAGCTACTGCCCGTAGTGAGCAGTGTTTAGTCTTTTTAAAAGCTCACTTTGGTGAAAAGTAGCTTTTTAAAACTTGTGTGTTCATTTGCCATTTTTGTTTATACTTGAATTCAGTAAGTAGACTGTCATTATTATCTTAGTGGTATAGAGAAGGAGCATGAGGTTGAGAAATTTAAGGGACTGGCCCAGGGCAGGACAACTAGAAAACCACAGAATACCCAGAAATTGTCACAAATTTCCCCTTTTCCTCTGACCATCTCTTCTTATAAGCAGTCTAATCTTGTACCATCTCCCTTTCACCTTTTCAACTTACGTCTTTTGAATGACTTCATTTCTTTCTTTGTCTTAATTATCTTTACCACTTCATAGTCCTCTGTTTAAATAAGATTACATTAACTTAGAAATACTTGTGTGTGTGTGTGTATACAGGAGCCAATGATAAAGTGATAGATAAAGAAATGGTTGTATTTCAGGTGCTCTGTGTGAGGATATTTTTTACGTCCCCTTTGTAGAATTATGTACAGTGGGTTAGATGGCAGTACTTTGTGCCTTGGTTTTGGGTGTTTATGAAATGATGAAACCTCCCTAGGGTGCAGAAGCATTAAAATGGAATTTGCTTTCATATTTTTGAATTTATAATCCAATTTGTCATTTAAGTTCAGTATGATTTAGACTGCTGCATGATGTAATTATTTGTCAAGTGAATGAGTAACTTTGAAAGGAATAACTTTGTAAAACAGTTAAGAGAAAAGAGAGTATTGTTTAGAAAATCATTCTGAAATCCTGACTGGTCGCATTTGAATTACCAGGGACAAACTACATTCTCTGGTGATAATGCGATTCTTAGGAACGTTAGTTTTTCCTTTTGGAGAAGCTGTGGCCAGAGTTTAGCCTGATAGGACTGAGAAGATTCTCCCAATCTCGCAGGCAGCTGACGCTTCCAAATGTACAGAACACTTCCCCTAGTAGAGAAAACGGGAAAGATGACACTTCTCCTTCAGATATGCTTGTAGAATTAACATGATGTAAGAGGCAACCAGTACATCTGTCTCATTGTTTTGAAATTACTCTGGTGGTTGCCAATGTGACAAGACAAATACTATATAATACTGTGCTTTTAATATTAAGTGGTTGTATGGGTTCAAAGCAGTAAGTCGATGGCCCACACTCTGTTCAGAATAAAATGCCAAACTGGTCAAGGTGCTGTTTAAATTTCTTTCTGCATGGAAATGTTGATTTTTTTTTTTAACTAAACTTTTTGTGTTGGAATAATCTTCTATTTACAGAAAAGTTGCAAAAACAGTATAGAGAGTCTCCATATAGTCCTCCTTGTTTCCCAAACATCTAACATTACCATGATCCATATGTCAAAACTAAGTGATGTCCTGATGTTGGTACATTACTCTGAATTTATTTACATTTTACCAATTTTTCCATTAATGTCATTTTTCTGTTCCAAGATTGAATCTAGGGCACTACAGTGTGTTTGATTGTCATGTCTCCTTTGTCTGCCCTGGGCTCTGACAGCAGCCTTTTTGAGTGAGGTGATTAAGAATGGCAGACATCGGGGAGGAAGATCTCTCTCTGCAAAGTCAAGGTAGGGGAACAGAGGGCGAATATTTTAATAAATGCAGATTTTAGATAGATACGTGTCTTCCTTTTCTCCAACCTTAAAAACCAGATACACATTTCAAAATTTTTAGAAGTTATTATAGTTAGTGAATTAAAAGGGAAATAAGTTGTAAGGGGCTGGTTAAAAAGTTTAGGTATTATGGAAGGAATAAGAGTGAGAACTCCCTACTTGGGTAGGAAGCCCGTGTAAAATATGGCCACACTCTTTAAACTTTTTATGTTGAGGACAGTCCTGTGACAGTGTCTTTTCCTTTGACCCAGCTTCCTGGGAGCATGGGTCGGGACTGCCAGAAAGAGGGTGAGAACTCGGCCCCTTTGGGATCGCGTGTGTCTGGAAGCGTGGAGTGGCCCAGGCTGCCGGTCACATAGCGCTTCTGCTTCCGGCTTCCCCTTTCCACTGCTGTCCTTCCTCACATGGAGCTCTTAGGGAGTTACACAGTTCAGTCGCACTTGGAGTTACTATGGAAACAGTTTCTTTTTCTTCTTACTGAAAAACAAAACATTCACAGAAAGGATTATCCATATCCTGATGTTTAAATGAGGATTCATTTTAATAAGTATCTGAAAGAGAGACAAACCAACACTAGTAAGAAATATCTGAGTTTCTGATTCTTAATGACCATCCTCACCCCAGTCAGGTTGGAAGGATAGAGAGAAGTGAATTCCAATGATTTTTGATTTAAAATGAATTAGGTCATTAATTTAAAATGAAAACTATTTTCAGTTTATGCTTCTGGATCTTAGCTACAAGAAATATGTTAATCTTTGTTCTAATTTTTTATTTGATTCTGTGAACATTTATAAAAGGTTATTGTGGTGTTGGCGAAGACTCTTGAGAGTCCCTTGGACTGCAGGGAGATCCAACCAGTCCATCCTGAAGGAGATCAGTCCTGGGTGTTCATTGGAAGGACTGATGCTGAAGCTGAAACTCCAATACTTTGGCCACCTCATGCGAAGAGCTGACTCATTGGAAAAGACCCTGATGCTGGGGGATTGGGGGCAGGAGGAGAAGGGGACAACAGAGGATGAGATGGCTGGATGGCATCACCGACTCAATGGACATGAGTTTGAATAGACTCCGGGAGTTTGTGATGGACAGGGAGGCCTGGCGTGCTGCGATTCATGGGGTCGCAGAGAGTCGGACACGACTGAGTGACTGAACTGAACTACCAAGACAGGCTCTTATATATGTCTTGTTTTTTAAACTTCATCTTAGGACTTAGTGTTGCTTGCCAAAACAACACCCAAGGCTGTCCCTTTAGAGTTTTTAATTTGGATCGAATGTTAGCGGTAGATGCTGTGGAGGAAATAGCTCCTTGGGGAGGATTATTTAATACAATATCAATTGTAAAGTCATACCTGAAATATTAATGCAGGCATGCTTTAAAAAATCAGCAAACATCCTGTTATATGCCGTGTAAAAAGGACTCTGTTTTCCCAACATGGGTACATGTCCAGTGTTTTTTTTAGTATTTTTTTAAAAACTGTTTTAATTATGAAAGTATCGTAATGCATTTACAGGAGACTTGGAAAATACAGAACAAAGTTACATATAGTTCCACTATATACTACAATTATTTTTTTAGGTAGGTAACTTAAGATTTTTAGTTGGAGTTTCAGTATCAAACTCTCAAAAATTAATAGAATGGATAGACAAGTAGAAAGGATATAGTAGACCTTATGAGCACTATGAATCAGTTCAGCATAATTAAGCTTAAGCGGTTTTCACACAACACCACTATACAAATTCTATTCAAGTTCCTGTAGACTGTAAACCAGGAGACACTGGAACATATCCAGGGACATAAAACAAGGTGCAGAAATTTCGTGGCCTAAAGGTATTGAAATCATACACTCTGTTCTCTTATCACCATGGAATTAGGTTCAGTTTACTTCAGTTGCTCAGTCGTGTCCAATTCTTTGTGACTCCATGAATCACAGCACGCCAGGCTTCCCTGTTCATCACCAACTCCCGGAGCTTACCCAAACTCATGTCCATTGAGTTGGTGATGCCATCCAACCATCTCATCCTCTGTCGTCCCCTTCCCCTCCCGCCTTCAGTCTTTCCCAGCATCAGGGTCTTTTCCAATGAGTCAGCTCTTCACATCAGGTGGCCAAAATATTGGAGTTTCAGCTTCAGCATCAGTCGTTCCAATGAACACCCAGGACTGATCTCCTTTAGGATGGTTGGATCTCCTTGCAGTCCAAGGGACACTCAAGAGTCTTCTCCAACACCACAGTTCGGAAGTACCAATTCTTCGGCGGTCAGCTTTCTTTATAGTCCAACTCTCACATCCATCCGTGACTACTGGAAAAACCATAGCCTTGACTAGACAGACCTTTGTTGGTAAAGTAATGTCTCTGCTTTTTAATATGCTGTCTAGGTTGGTCATAACTTTCCTTCCAAGGAGTAAGCATCTTTTAATTTCATGGCTGCAGTCACCATCTGCAGTGATTTTGGAGCCCAAAAAAATAAAGTCTGTCACTGTTTCCCCATCTATTTGCCATGGAATGATGGGACCAAATGCCATTAGTTTAGAAATCAAATATCAAAAGATACTTGAAAATAACCCATGTATTTTCAAGTGCAGTGTGGCATTTACCAAGAACACGTGCAGCATGGTCTCAGAGTGGTTGGGGGGCAGTGGTGGGGGTGAGGGGGGGTAGCTGAGGGAGGGAGTTTCAGAGGCGCACCGGTCAGATGCACAAGTAACTCTAGACAAGCTGGCCTGACTGTCTGCCTTTGTGGCCCGCTTTGTTGCATGGATTTGTTTCAGACATATTGACTGATCCTGTGAATCCTTTTCAGACTGAGTCTGCATGTGAATCTATTGCCTAAGACATACTTATTTTTAAAGTCCTAGTCACTTCTGCAATGCTGTGTTGTCCCAGTGGAAAGTTTGTTTCTTGATTTCAAGGAAGATTAAAGGGGATTCAGATCACTGATTTAGTGTTGTGCGTGAATCTTGGGTTTTTGGCTTGTTTTTGTTCCCCCCACCCCCCAACCCCATGCAATAAGTATTTAAGTAATTTAATTAAATTAATTGAAGTATGCATGAAAGTGTTTTTAACTTTTCATTACAAGAAATGTTGAATATTCAGAAGTAGAAATAATTGCCCACATACCTATGACTCAGCGTCCACAGAGGTCGGCCTGTGGCCAGTTGTGTGCATGTGTGTGGCCCCACAGTGTGAGTTCACACGTTGTAAGGCCGCGTGGTTGGTGCACAGGTCTCTCTTGTTGATTGGTGGTGGACACTGTGCCTGTGGCCGTCAC